CAAACGGAACAGAGCAGTGGGCAGCAACCCAGCGAAGCACCAGGCAACGCTGCTGCGGCAACACAGCTGCTCAACGGCAAAGACGACTGCAAGGAATGACATGGCACGCGGACGAACAGCACAGCGATCGTGCAGTGAAGCACAAGGCAACACAAGCAAGGCAACCACACTGCAAGGGAGGACAGGGTGAGCAGACGAGCAGCACGGAAACCATGCAGTGAAGCAGAACGCAACACCAACAACGCAACCAAACTACAAGGTAAGAAAAGGACACGGAAGGCACGGCTTGCGGATGGGCGGTAAGCCAGCGGAGCAGCGAAGCGCAAGGCAACACCAACAGCACGGCCACTCCACATAGCAAACACAGCAGCTTGCCAAGAACAAGTGAACCCAGCGGACTGCTGGTTCCCACCACCTGCTGGGCCAGGGAATCACTCAGACAACCATCCATCATCACCAGCAGGAGACATAGACACCCCGAACTAAGCCCCCCCCCCCCCCCCCCCCCCCCGTCCCCCCTCAAGAGTGCGGCCGGCACTCCAAACGAGAAATGCCCGACTATTTGGCACTGCTTAAAGGTGCTCAGCTAGGGACACACAAAAGTACTAGGGGGGAAACAAAAACAAACAAGGAAGAAAGAAAACATACATATAAATGATTGTTTGTGTGTGTGTAGAGGGTGTGTGCACGCGGGCACGCCATGGCACGGACACTATGCCATGGCAGCTCTGACGTAAGTGGGCGCAACCTGAGGGCGCTGGTGGGAGCGACTAACTGTCAACGGAAACTCGACAGGGCATGGCCAAAACGCAGTGTGTGCTTAGTGAAACGACAGTAGGCGTGGGACAGACGCATCCAGTAGTGGAAGGCAGGGAAATACTAAGCCGGGGCGTCTTTGCCTCGTATGCATCTGCGGACAAACCAGAAGACACACAATAGTATATCACGAACAAACAGGGAAGCATAACACAAGGACGCAAGGGGCAGGGAGGGTATGGTGAGGGTAATATCAGTGAGACAACACCGGCTGGAGGGCACGGGGGAGGAGGTGTGGAGGGCAGACAATACACAAGCAGACAAGGCAGGTTAAAGACACTAGTCAGCAAACTAGAAAAAAAATACAAGTGCCAAAAAAGCGCAAAGACCGAAGAAAATAGAATTGATGATGAAAGGATGCAAGGAAAGGTGAAACGCCATGAGGAGAAGCACTCTTTGGTCCATGGATTTGCTATCGGGAAACCACTTTTCGTCGGAGTGGCCCTGACTCATTAGGAGATTGAACCCGACAGTCTGGATGGGATGCATTTGGCTGATGGATACGGACTCACCACGTCCCCCAGAGTTAGCGATACCCCGAGAGAGAAAAGTGGTAGACTTTACTCACACCAACCGACGTGCAATCCTAGCAGACTGTCGGTCCAAACTCCTGACAAGAATGACAGTAAGTCTGAGAGACTGTGTGTGTGTGTGTGTGTGTGCGCGCGGTACAAGGCTCCCGCGACCGTGCTGCGGCATGTTGCTTCGCAAGGTGTGCTTATACACAACACAGGGAAAGAGCCCGCAGCCCGGGATGCCTATAGAAAAGAATGCTTATAATGTCCAGCTTTCAAAACTTTTTTTTTTTTTTTTTTTTTTTTT